TCCCACAGTGTTTAGTGATAAGCATTATTGTTAATGCATTACATTTATAATGCCCCTCAGTTGTTGTACAGTTAATAAGAAGTAAGTAAATTTATGTTATCCCAATTCTTTAAAATTAATATGTTTGAGTAAAGGATAACAAAGCAATAGATGATTCATTAAATTAGTATCTTAAAGTGTTAGTTTTGACTGGTTGGTTAAAATATTATACATTATCACGTTATGGTATTCGTGAACTGGCTCCGCCGTTTCGTTGCCTTTTAGGTAGGATATTAAAAACTAATCAGACAAAAGTCTATTATTCCTCAATTAGAGGTAGTGCGTTATTATTTTTATATCTACTTGTCTTTGTCGTTGTAAACCCTCAAACCATACGACCCCGATAGAACCACAACATCAGGTTCTCACCATATACAGCCCAATCTCAAATTCTTTATTTTTATTTTATTAATTTTTGTTATTTGAATTATAAGATGTTCTAGAGTCCATAACTTCACATCCAAATAAGCTATCACTGTGGAACTAGCACTGTTTTACTTATATTAAATAGTACTTCAATTTCATTCTTAAGTTTATGAATTTAAAATTTTTTTAACATCGAAATTTTTATTTAAATTTTTTAAATTCTGTAGTATTTTAATAGCAAAATTTGTAGGTCAAAAATTATTTTTTTCTTTTCAGAAACTTTTAGTTATGTTCTTTTATCCCATATCATATTTGAATCGATTTATAATTTTTTTTGTATCGTTTTACGGATTTGAACATACATGATTTTTTGAAAATAGCCAACTTTATCATCTCATTACCCAAAGTGGCTGAACGAATTTTTTTCAAATTTACATATCACTTATCTTTAGGTTATTAAAATATCTGGCGAAAATTTGATGATGAAGAAATAATTTTAATGCCACTTATATAACTTACAAAATTTACAATTAACGTGTTATAGAAAATCCACAAACTATGTAATTTTTAACATTTTATTTTTATTTTTTGCATTTATTCTATACGAAAATAAAATAGTACACACCATTGTAAGCAACTGTTTTTAAAATTATTGGTTTTGTTTATTAAGTACCCCTTGCTCCAGCTAAAATACACTATTTAGGTCTCAATTCAACAAATTTAGTAAAACCAATTTTGTCATTTGGATTTTCTGTTTTGTAATTTTTTTACGATCAGCATCTCTTATATTCATGACGTCTTTCATACCGGAACATACTCTGCTATAATCGTCATTATGATAAAAGTCACCCACATTTTTATTACTACTTTCGGATCAATTACTCGACCAGGTTTTTGAACGACAATGTAAGGTAAAACACCATGAATATCGACTAATTTTTTTACCTTTTTCACAAAGCATTCTGTGACACCAAATTCTTCACGAATTTTTGAAACCGACCAAGATTTAGGCAACAGACTTAAAATTCTTATGTGTTGGCTAGTTTCATTAAATTCTTTAAGTTATTTATCCAACTTTCATACTCGTTAATGGCATAATTTCCGTTAGAAAGGAAATGTGTGCTATTGGAAGAAAAACAATGAATTTTATAAGCCGAGAAGAGTTTTTTTTTACTGTAGAACTTATAACTTCAGCTTTTTTTTCAATAATAACTGGTCGGCGAGTTTTAGTTAAGTGTTTTAATGAAATAGATGATATACCTAAATTATTACAAGCGTTATTTATTCTTTCTAAATTATTTTCTATAGACTCATACACGGGTTCATCATGCTCAACACTCATATTCAAGTAATCAACAGAATCTTTCAAACGTTTTAAACATGTTTTACATAAAGCCTTTCCAGGTATTAATTCCAAATTTGAATATTCAAGAACGGTTTGTAGTTTTATTTCAATCAGACCTTCGCGGACAGTTATTTTATGTAATTAAATAGATCAAAACATTTTCTATCGACACACAAAATAAAAATAATATTTTTTACTCTGATGCTCACAAATTGTAGTTAAAGAACAGTTTATTCTATTAGAAAGGAGTTGTTAGTTTTTAATATTTAATAATATTTGATTATTAAAACCGTAAACAGATTTGTGACACACATCGTTCACTGCTAAACCAACTGAGGATTCCATAATAATGCTTGGTGACATACAATTGTAATTTTATATGGACAATCCTGTCACATTTAAAAATAGATAATCAGTTTTAAATGCTATTTAACATTATAATATATGTCATATTCATGAAAAAATTGATACAAAAGTCACTATTAGTTATATGATAAAATGAAAATCGTATTTATAGTAAAAAGACAACTGTTTCATCGACAGTTTTATACTTTCATTAGTATTAAACAAAAACAATAATTTTACAAATAGTTGCTTACAATGGTATGTAGAATTTTATTTTCGTGTAAAATAAATGCAAAAAATAAAAATTTAATGTTGAAAATTACATAGTTTGTGGATTTTCCAGAACACGTAAATTGTAAATTTTTTAAGTTATTAAGTGGCGTTAAATTTATTTCTTCATCATCAAATTTTCGCTAGATATGAAAATTGCCTAAAGATAAGTGCTATGTAAATTTGAAAAAAATTCGTTCAGCCACTTTTGTGTGATGAGATGATAAAGTTTAAATATAGAAAATATGGTAAAATCTTGTGATTCATATATAAAATTAAAAGTAAATCCCAAGAATTCATAGTTAATGCGGTGGAGTACACCGAGAGAGTATAGCAACGTGTTCCTATTGATTTTTTTGGTCCTTATAACTTGCAATTTGGAAATTGACATCATTAAATAGAAAAAAAAATGGTATTGTTAAGATTAATATGAATAAAAGGGAAATATCTAAGGTTTCAATAAAAAAAAAATAAGTTGTTTTGTTAATTTTTAAAAAAGTTACGGCAGTTTTAAATTTAAAAAAATTGAAAAAATGTCAAAAATTTGCAATTTTTAAATTTGTAATTTTTTTGGAGATTTCCCCATTTACGGGGAACGAGGGAATTCTTTTCAATTTTTAAGGGTAATGTCTTCAGTTATATACGATTTTTGATCTTTTGACATAGTTTTCATCAAAATCGGTCCAATGAGAGCTGAGAAAAAGTGGCAACAGACACAAAAAAAACCACATTATTGTAAAGTTAATACCTTCTCATTTTCGCATCAAAGCTAAAAGATAAGAGGTTAAAGCTAAACCTTGGTGTACATCTACTCTTATCCCGAACTCTTTTATTTTTCTACTGGAACTCGTTTTTAAACTCAATCTTAGTGAGATCAACAAAAAAATTGTACTGTTTACCATGTAAGATACTCATAAACATAACAATATTTTAGTGCCAGGATTATATTTTCGGTCAAAACAGGATGTATAAGCAATGTTTACAACTTATTGCAACAAAAATTATAGGATAACTTACGATCATTACGAGGAAATAAATGTGCTATTTTTAATTGTAGTAAATACAAACAAAAGAACTGAAATCTCATATTATAGTTTTCCGAAAAATAATAAATCGATACAATGGTTATAACTTTGGTATGTATAAACTAAATTACTTATAGATATTATAGCTGATAGTTAAACTTAACATTGCCGAATTTTAGAAATTAAAAAAATACTTCAAAATTACGCTACTGTAAAAAATAATTCTATATTTTAAAAGTGCTAAAACTTTTATTTAAAAAAACACTGATTTTAATCAAATTTTAATAGATACAAGAGGTAATAAGATTCCTTTTGGTATGATTTGTATGAAAATCCAATAAAAAATCTAAGTACTAGATTTGAAAGGATATCAAAGAAACCATTCACGCATGTAATTTTTTTGCAGTACAATATTTGAAAATTTTCCAAACAAATCGGTAGCGAGGGGTAGTTATATAATATATTAAGAATCTCAAAACTAAGAAAAAAATTAAAAAAATAAATAATAGCGAAATATAAATCAATAAAGCAGAAGATACATATTGTTTTATCGTATTTGTAAAGCAAAACACGTTTCACTTAAATCAAATAATAAACAAATGTTTTTGATAATAACTAAGTTATTACATTGATTTTCGTTGGCAAATATCAGCACTACGTCTATTATCGCAGCTATTACCAAAATATCAAGCTGATCAGTTATTTTAAAATTTATAACATTTTTCGAGAGGGTATATAGCGCAATCTCTCCAGGTATAAATTAATAAAAAATCAGTTGCCAATAGCTAATTGTTGTGTCCTATCTATGTAATCTATACCAATATATTTTCCATGATTATAAGTAGAATAGTTAAACAACGTTATATACATATAACGTTATAACTTTTCGATAACACTATCGGTTCATCCGGTTGTTTTCAAAAACAAAAACTAATGTTCTTCTATAGATTTAGTAACCAAACACACAATCGACACCGAACTACCATATCGATTGTTAGATAACTATCGAACTGTTACCATGAATGATATGATTACTAACCGTTCAGCTTGTTTTGCGGGTTAAAATAACTAAATAAAACAATATCTTATTTGAATAGAATGTGCATGATTGAGTACTTCTGACTACAAAACTATATAGTAAAATATACAGTAGTTTTTATTCGAATAAAAACTACCGAGTATTTTATCCTGTACTTTAATAGTCTTAACTAGTCGTGAATAATATACAACGATTATTCAATATCTTTTTAAACATTATCGGAATATCCGGTAGTCAAAACTATTCNTTTTATCCTGTACTTTAATAGTATTAACTAGTCGTGAATAATATACAACGATTATTCAATATCTTTTTAAACATTATCGGAATATCCGGTAGTCAAAACTATTCGATAATACCCACGACCACTATTTTCCTATAATCTCAAAATAAGGAACCTCATAATGTAATACATAGACAAAGTGCTAATTTTTCGAGATCACAATTAGCCAGTTTAGCCAGAGTCGGGGAATAAAGAAAAAGTTCTCATCGTTTTCTTATTTTTACAATATATTAACAAGCCATAGTGGTTAAACTGTCCGGGTAGTTTTAATTTTTAACCTCAAAAAACGATTGTAATTTTGTTTAGAACTTTTATGTTTTCAATAGGCTATTGAATTTTTAATATTATTATTTTTAGTGTTATTATGGAACGTAGTAAGCAGATTATTTTACTGTGATATTTATTTTTACCTTTTATTTAGATATGCCGTAGTTTATTGTAAATTGTAAACATAATTTGCTGATATTATAACATCATCGCGATACTATCAATAATGGTGTCTCTCATGTATAGGTGGGACACCTAGACAGTTTAATATTATGGACTTGAAACTCTAGCACAGGTAGGCCTCTGCAATCTAGCGAGCTACCCTGCCTGGACCGAGATATCTTGGACATTATGTCGTTTGACTTTGAGGAGATCAACTCGCTGCGTCATGAACTGCAGAATGTCAGAGAAGTAATGCGTCTAACCAAGTGCAACATTGAAGCACTTAATGGCACATTTGCTTCATTTGATCATCCACCAGCAATTTATTTGACTGAGTATCGAGAACTCACTGTGAAGCTACATGAATTAGAAGCCAAAGAACAACAACTACTGGACCAGGTTGACCATCCTAGGGAGCATCGTAAGACAGGCAGGGCCGATAAGCCATCTACGCCGTCTGTGAGGGTAATTAGAGCATATTTACCTAATAAGCAACGTACTACCATTGAGGTTAAACATGGGGAAACATTACATATGGCCTTAGAAAAACGTTTACAGCATAGAAAAATACCAATGAATGTCTGTGTTGTCTATAGACATGGCACTGATCATCAAATACCATGGGATACTCAAACATCAGCTATAGAATATGATGAAATTCAAGTAAAAATGTGCTGGTTACCTATCCAAGCTTCATTTACTCATGATTTTTCTAAACGTACTTCTTTTACCACTTGTGATCATTGTCGTCAATTGTTATTTCAGGTAGAATATATTAAATAATATATTTTTAAAGTTATGTAAAAATAATTTTTTTGTCTATAATTTAGGGTTATCACTGTCGTTCATGTGGATTTAAATTCCATGAAAGGTGTTCAATGGGTGTGCCGGTTTTATGTATTCCAACTAGAGATTTAAATAATAGTAATAGTGGAAGCCATTCAATTTATCAAAATTCAGCAGGTATATTGCAATTATCATCTGATTATCAATCCTCTAGACGTAGAGTACTCGGTCATGGTGAAAGATCAAGTTCTGAACCTAATGTATGTCGTAATATGGTAAACATGAATTGGGATGATATAGCTGAGCTAAAACGCAGATCACAAGCACCATTAGGTGTTCCTCAAGGGTTCTTACCACATAGCCAAAGTGCTCAAGCATCACCTACTAATGTACTAAAGCCAAGACCTCGAGCCAAAAGTGCAGATGAAAGTGCTACTAAAAAACTACTTAGAGATACTGGGCCTCAAGAGTCACTTGAAGATTGGGAAATTCCAGAAACAGATATTCAAATGGGTGATTGTATAGGTTCAGGCTCATTTGGTACTGTATATAAAGCTAATTGGCATGGCCCAGTTGCAATAAAAGCTCTTAAAGTTAAACAACCAACTGCTGCACAATTACAAGCTTTCAAAAACGAAGTATCAGTTTTAAAGAAAACACGCCATGTTAATGTGTTATTGTTTATGGGTGTCATTCGTAAACCAAATTTAGCTATTGTAACTCAGTGGTGTGAGGGATCAAGTCTATACCGTTGCTTGCATGTACTTGAAAAAAAGTAAGTTTTTCTAACTTAAATTGGAAGTAAAATTAATGTAATTTTCGCTTATATCATACACCACCATTATATATATTACACTATATAATATACAAGAGTTTTAAAAAAATTAAAGTATTGCAAATATCTTCATTTTTATTATGAAAATTATCTAGACTCTTATAGCATATTCTTTGATACATCACTGCATTTGCATGAATTATTACAGTTAAAAAAGAAAGAATGATCATGACTATCTTTTTTTTAAATTTCTCTTGCCATTTTCAGTGCAAACCAAAAATTTGAATATTATGTTTTTAATCTTATTGAAATTTCAGTATTTTTCTTAGATTTAATGCTAGTTGAAAAAATTTTGAACTAAAATTTGATGTAATTTAACTTTTATTAAATGGACACTGATAAAACACATAATTTTAGTTTGTATGTTAACATTAAATTTTTTTGGTTTGCCTTACAATTTTACAGATTTTAGATGAACCAACCTGGTACATTTTCAGAAAATTTTACTAAGAAGGGGCAACAAATTTGGGTTCTTATATAATTTTAAATGATAAATGATAATTTTAAATTTTATTACTTTTATATTATTTTTCAATTATAGTTATACAATACTTATTCAGTTTATCCATTATGCTTTGTAAAGATATCAACTTCAATTTTTAAGTGGGAACACATTTTTATTTAATAAAATATTTGAGTTTTTTTTTTTTTAATAAAACTTCTTATGTTTGATAGATATAACATTTTAAAGTTTTAAATTACCAAATTAAAATAAATGTATAATTTATGAGATTATACTAATCTGCAATCAATTTGTTTTTATGACTTCATTATTCACAGATACAGTGTTTATTATCTATTATGTCCTTATCGAAATATATACTTAAAGTATAATAATTTATACGGTAAAATGTTGTGAGTTACATTATAAATACAACAATCAGCAAAACAGATAACATTACTTTATTTCATAATCTTCTTTAGTTACCTTAAATATGTTATAGACATTTTTTGGAACAATTTACAATCAATTTTGCATTACTACTAATAAGTATCATTTAAAAGTATACATGTTAAATATGTATAATTTTTTATTTTTTTTAGATTTGAAACTATGCAATTAATTTCAATTACTGGTCAAACAGCTATAGGTATGAACTATTTGCATTCAAAGAGTATAATTCACAGAGATTTAAAAAGCAATAATATATTTTTCAATGATTCTGTTGTTAAAATTGGAGATTTTGGTCTTGCGACTATTAAATCAAAATGGTCTGGTGGCCAACAATATCATCAACCATCTGGATCAATATTATGGATGGCACCAGAAGTCATTCGAATGCAAGTAGATAATCCTTACAGCTTTCAATCGGATGTATATGCGTATGGTGTAGTGCTATATGAATTGCTATCAGGTCAATTACCTTATACTGAAATTAACAATAAAGACCAAATTATATTTATGGTTGGTAGAGGTTATTTAAGACCTGATCAAAAAAAAGTGAGAGCTGATGCACCAGCAGAACTTCGTAAATTAATGGAGAATTGTATCAAATTTGACAGAGAAGACAGACCTAAATTTAAAGATATAGCCATATCTATTCAAAGTATAATTCATGCTATGCCAAAGTTACAACGAACTACATCTGAACCTACATTATCTCGGTCTAATTGGAGTGATGACTATTTGTACCCTTCAGAAGCTAACAGTTATAGAGGAGCTGCTGGTTTTATTTAAAATACATGTAACTGTAAAATTTATTTTTACTCTTATGATTTATAATTTATACATTTTATTTTGTTAAATACAATTGACCAAAGGACGATATTGCATATATATATATATAT